CCACCGCACTCTCCTACCCCCGCCCAACCCCAGTCGGGCTCAGTCCCGAGCAGGACACGTACACTGCATGCATGCAGCTACATCCCCCGTAGCTGCCGCACGATCCGAACCCCCGGATAAGACCTCGCCCCCCCCCTTTGAGCACCAGTCGAATCGTAAAGAACAGGAAAAAGGAAAAAAAGGAATCTCTCAAGCAAGCAGCAAAATCACCAAGCTTCCAAATCACGCGAGAAAAAAAAAAAAAAAAAAAAAAAAAAAGAGAAATTGACGCCCAAGTTCACACACACAACGCAATAGAATAGCAGGCAGCATCCTGTCAAGTTTTTCACGGTAAAACTGGAAAGCGTCAACAGAAAGAGCACCACCCCTCACAACACCTCTCCCCCCCACTCCCCAATAATCCCCGAAAAGACCAACTATCCCCCCCACCCCACCCCCACCCCCCAATCCTTCCTCCCCCTCTCACATCCCCCTCAACTAGGAACCAAGTACTCGGCACCAACAATGGCGGCAACTTTCCAGCGCCGCTTCTCCACCATGGTTCAAACCACCCCAAGTTCAGCAAACAGCAACTCTCCAAAGGCAGACAGCTCCACAATCAACCACGGAACACTCAGGTTCTTGCTGGAATCACCACAGATAAAGGACAAAGATCGGCAGAAAAGTCATGAATAACGGATGGGGTTACCCCCAAAAAAAACTGGCGGACACCAACGCAATGTACGAGAAACACTCACTAGTATTTTCCTTCTCCAACACTGGATCACGCCTCCCAGCAGTGGAAAAGAGGAAATGGTTGTCAAGAACAACTCACTCTCACAAATCCATCAAAACCAAAGCAGACAAATTTGCGTTCCTCAACCTGAACAGGAACATGATGATGGTAGTCTTCAAAGACACCAACCAGGCATCCCACCTGATTGACAGACACGACACGCTGAACTGCAACGGATCGGTCTGCGCGAGCAATTCTGGGAACAATTCGATAAGATACCGATCAGAGGCCACCCCCTCATCAAAGATCGGCTCGAGGTCCAATACCCAGCAAACAAGATTCTGAAGTGGGTCCTCCCCACTCTAGACTTCTTGTCACCCGACTGCGACTCCATGACAGCTATTTTGAAAGTCCACACTGACGAGCCACCAGTCTTCCCAGAGGAATGGGAATGCATCATCGACGACAAATCCTGCACCGTGGTGGTTTCCACGAAATCAAACCCAATCTGCTTCCGCTGCAGAGAGAGGCCATCTGGGAACTGACCCCAGATGCCCCGTTCACCCGATCACTCGTGAGAGAAAAAACTCAGGCAGAACATGCTGGTCAAGGTCGAAGAAGCCGAAGGCATTTGGTTCGTCAACGACCCAGAATATGATGGCTGGGTCTTTGACGATACCATCCAGGACCCGATGTGGATCTGGACATACAGTCACACGAGACCAGCGACCAAACAGCCAGATATCTTCCCCCCATCCGATAGCAAATGGCATTCGGTAGGAGCCAAAAGCGTCACCAGCCTGCCAGGGAAATTCCACTCAGACCCAATGGTTGACCCCCTGAGCGATTCAGGAAGAGAAAAAAACACGAAGACCTGCTGTGGGATCTGGAATCAATCAGGGCATCAAAACGCTGAATTATTCCAGAACCCGGAAGACGACGGCATCCCAAATCTGAAGTCGCCCTCAAAAGACAAGCCTCCCCCGAAAAAGGACTCACAGACAACAGGGTAGGCAAGAAGAAAAACGTGAAACAGATCAGTCAGTTAAGGAAGAGCTCCACTCAGACTGACCAACAGGCATTCCCTTCACAGATGGAACAGTCAAGATCTCAGATCCCGGAGATCAAGCAGGAATGAACATCTCCCCCAAGAAGAACCCAAACGGCAAAGCCTAAGAACAAGACACATCCCCCATCCCATGGCTGAGAGATATCTGGAGAAATCCAAATATGAAAGGGAGAAAGAATTCGACATCCGAGTGGCCTGCATGAAACACATGGAGAAAACAGGCAAATCCATGACAGGCAAATCTGCTGTGGCAGGCATCTCACAGTCCAACAACTCATTTGATTTGCTGCTGCGGCAAAAGAGCGAATTGTCAAAATTCAGCGCTTTCAAATATCATGAGAAAAAGAGGGAAAGGGAAGCTGGATCCTCAGACTCGGACTCGGGACAGGAAACACAGACAGCTAGAGACTCAATAAGAGGCATGGTACTAAAGAACTGGAAATCGTCCAAGGGTAAGGAAGAGAAACTCAGGAAACCGTCGAATGACACCAAAGGTCAAAAGAGTGAACAGAGACAACTCACACAAGAAATCGCGACGGTAGCACCACAAACAAAACGCATGTTCGAGCAGAGCGACGGACTACAAGAAAGGTCATGAAAAGGAGTTCATCACCTTCCAAAAAGTCGCTGAGAACACAGCCCCTGCTGACGCTGTTGACACTGATACACCGAGGACAGACAGGAAAACCATAAAACCAGTCCACCCCCTGGATCCAGTCCAGCTCAGGAGCAGATTCAATGAGTGGCAGGTAGTGACGGAGGAATCCTTCGCCATGCCCACCATCAGCGATGATCGTTCCCTGGCTAGGTGCATCAAGGACCACATCTCCGCAGACTGTCCTTTGGGAGTCTACGAGGTCCCCGAATACAAAAAGCCACGATCAATGGCAACACTACGAAGGATAACCGCAAATCATTCGACCCCACTCTGGTCAAGCTAGAAGAGAAAGCCAAACTTCAGGAAGGCCTCACCTGGAGAGCATGGAACACCATCACAGCACTCCCCTACAGCGTGCTAGCGAACAGATTATAACAGAAGTGATGGCGGACTCGCTGGCCATCATAATCAAGACCCACCTCCTCACCTCAAAGAACTCCTTGCAAGACGAGGCCACCCCAGTTCATATCGAACTGGGGGACAGAGACGGCAGTGAGGACGAGGAAGAGGAGTTATTAAAGATCTCCCCAGGTGTGGCCCACCCCTGCCGGAAGGCAGTGTGAGTGCGTACGACCTGGACCCGTCAGCCAGCAAGGAGGACAGTGGGGGATCCAACGTCGAGAGCCGCGAGACAGCGGTGGACTAGGCAACTTCACCAAGTACCGCACAACGAACTCCTCCATTAAAAAAAAAAAGGAAAAAAAAAGACAGCACCACAAGTAACAGCAATGAAAAGAGAGACAAAGTAGGACAAACAGCTGAGAATGCAGAATCAATCAAGGGATGCCGACACAAAACAAGATAGTACTATAACGACAGACTGGCAAGCCAAAGGACTCAAAATCATCGGCTGAAACGTCAATGGGTTGGGTAACGCACTGACGGAGGAAG